GTAATTAATTTGTTCAAATTGAGACCTAGTTGAGATTGTCCAGACTAACTCTGATGCTTAGTGCTCTCTCTTGCTTTGTTGATGTTCTTTGCATGTATTTTGTTCATTGCATCAATAAAAAAAAAAAAATTTGTTGATCAAAAAAAAATTTTTTGATCAAATTGAGACAATAGAAATTTTATGATCAAAATCGAATCAATTAAAATTACAATGATTAAAATGATACAAAGGTCAAAAGTATATGAAATACTGATGTAATTTGTCTTTAATTTTTAAGAATATATTTTAGTTTTTCTTTTTCAATTATATTTATTATTGATTTTTTTCAAATAAAAAACGAATGGAAAAATTAAAATTGGATGTGAATGCGAGTAAGGATCCTCTAGAGTGATTTTTTCCTAAAGTTTCCTAGAGTGCTACATTGTGTGGTTGAGATTTACTGGCAAGTCACATCAATTTTTCTGATGTGACTTGCCAGTAAATCTCAACCACACAATATAGTACTCTAGGAAACTTTAGAGAAATTTCACTCTAGAGGATCCTTGGCGTGTGAATGCACGCAGAATTAGAATTACGGACACCATTTGCAGAAACTCTCACCAACTCTTAAATACCATTTAAAGAGAAAATATATCTGTATATATTACACCTTGTCAAAACATACTTTAACTATGGAAATTTGCATATGATTATTCTTACAGTATGCTATCATAGTTAGGATGGAGTGTCCAAATGGCATGTATATCCCCGTTTTTCCTCCGCAGCCCACTCCGAAAAACTATTTTTTCATTCATCAAACTGATCAATACTGTTAAACATTTTCCTCAATTCATTAAATTATTCAAAATTTTAAAAGCAAAATTGGAAATGCAATTGTGATGATGGTCCTCTATTAACAATTTTATGGTATGCGAAGCCATGGTTTTAATTGAAGGGACAATATTAAAATAATGGCCCTAAGCGCAGCTACCTTGTCCTTTCCCATTCATAGTAGGGGTGTTCGCGGATCAGTTTTGTGCGGTTTGCGGTTCGGTTTTGACCCGCCCGCATTTATGCGGTTTGGAAAAAAGTCAACCCGCAACCGCCCTCAGTGCGGTTTGCGGTTTGTGCGGATAGGGTTTGCAAATGTGCGGGCGGTTGCGGGCGGTTGCGGGCGGTTTACACTTTTTTCTTTAAAAATTAATTTTTGAGTTTTTTTTTCCAGCGAATTTAGGCATCAGATTCTTTTTATATATTTGTGATAACAATTTTTTGATGAGTTTACAAATAAAAATTGAATATCAATGCATTAAATGAAAGTACCCAAAATAAAGAGACCCTACACTAGCATTTTTGCTATGAAAAAAATGTATATCAATGCATTAAAGGTTGTACTCAATTAGAATTGCCAGTTCAGTAATCAATAATCAAACTATAAGTTCTATCGACCATTAAAAGGAAAATTTTATTAGGAAAAAGTGGATGAATCACCAATGAAAATCATATAAGAAACCAAGTTTAGGTCTTGATGATTCTACGGCATTAAGAAAGTTGAGAAATACTTAAAAATAAGAATCCTAGTGTCATAGAGAATATAATGGTGCTCCTGTAAAAGTTACAAAGTTGGTATATAAAAATAAATAATAATAATAATAATTAAAGTGCGGGCGGTTTTTGCGGTTTGCGGGTTTAAACCGCGACCCGTCCGCAACCCGCAAATTTGTCATATTTCAAACCGCATCCGCCCGCATTATGTTTGCGAAACCGCCCACTTATATGCGGATTGGGCGGTTTGAGCGGTTCGGATAAACCGTTGCCCACCCCTAATTCATAGTGCCCTTTTTCCTCAATCATCAAAACAATATGAATAATGATTGTGACCTCAAATACATTATCAAATGTCTCATATAGATATAGGATTCACATGGGACCCACATGGTGTAGGTCTCACACTTATATAAGACATTTAATAAAATATTTAGTAAATCATTTGAAATTCTTAACATTTTTCAAACAATATATTGATCTCATTTAAATTTGTGAATTCTATTATTTTGCACTAATTACTTTTGATCACACATATAGGTCATCTTTATTTGGATAGACGTGACTTTGAAATTGACCTAATAATCCAACAAAAAGCATAATCTAATATTTGGTTAGAAAATTTTGGGGTTTAGATATAATATCCCCATACGAGGGACTATTGAATCTCAAAAGAGAGTGGGATATAAAATGAAAAACTAATGAGAACTTCGTACTAATTAATTACATTACAAAATTGATAAGATTTTGTTAATCTCTCTTTATAATCTTACGTCAATCCAAACATAATATATACTACACATTTTAAGGAGATTGATAATCATAAAACTAGCAGTCCTAAATATGCTAATCCCATCTAATTTAATTCACCCAAACAAACATAGCCCTGTTGTTACGTGTGTGAGCAAATACTTGATTAGTTAGCTGGTTGTTGGTGAGATGAGAGGGGTATGTATGTAATAATAAGTAAATGCATGAATGAATACTAAGGGTTTGTTTGGAGTGTCCTAAATAAGTGTACTTTTTGTCTTTTTTGACTAAAAAATTGAGGAAGAAAATATAGATGTTTGGGTTAACTTTTTGACTTTTTATAAAAAAATGTGTAATAAAAAATTGTAAAAATTGATTTATAAGAGAAAATTAGGATTGAGAGTTGTACAGCCGTAATTGTTGACTTTTAGTGAATAGTGTTAACTGTTTAACTTTTTGAATAACATTTTGACTTTTTGACTTTCCCTGAACATGTCAAACTTAGCCTAAATAATGTGGAGTGTAGGGAGTGTAGAGTCTGTGTGTATGTATGCAGTGTGTAGAGTGGTCCTGTTGCTTTCCATAGTGTCCTGTGTTGAAAAACCTAATCTTCTTCACTCTCTTTCTTTACTCTCTTTCTTTGATTTTGCTAATATATTTACAATCAAATTTAATTGCTACTCAGCTATGCTTCAGCCACCCAGTAGTACTGCCTTCATCAACCACACCAGCACCAGCTCAGCTTCTGCACTCACAATTTATTGTTATTTTTGGCTTCACGTGCATTTAGATCACCATTATACGGTTCGTGTATTTCACTCATTATTAATTAGTTTTGAATTTTATATTTTTAATAATTTTATAGAGTGTCAGAATTAAATTTTGAGTGGTTGCTCAAAATATGAAGTCTTTACACTATATGAAAACGATGTTGTTTTGTGTAAAGAGACAAAATGGGAAGAGGTGAGATTTTTGTTTTGTTTTTTTGGTTTTCTTACTCCCGAACATCATTTTTGTGTATACCATAGGGGATCTAAATTTGATTTCTTCTGAGTCAAGTCTCTATCCGAAGTCTATTTCTCTAAACTCCTATCTATCTATCATATACAAAACAGGTCATAAATGTAAAAAAGTCGATGCAAAAGTAAAACTTTTGATTTGAATTACAAGAATACTAATTTTGCATCTCATGAAGTATATTTAAGGCGTAAATTTATCAACATTATTTACTAAGGGTGTACAACATTTGAACCAATAAAAATGAAATAATAAAATAAAAAAGAGAATGGAGTTCATGAAACTATTATTTAGATAAATAAAGTTTTAAATGGCACCTAGAACAAGAATCCGTTGTCGTCCAGCGGTTAGGATATCTGGCTTTCACCCAGGAGACCCGGGTTCGATTCCCGGCAACGGAATTTTGCGTTTTCTCACTTCAAATGTTGGAAACTTCACAGAAAATATAATTGGCCTCCCAGGTTTTTTGTTTTTAGATAGAAGGTCTCCCTGAGGTTCTTAGGTTATTTTTAATTATTTATTAATATTTTGTTAGTCGTATTAAATGGGGAAAAAAAAATTTAAAATATATATTTATATTTGTATTAATTTTAATCATTTTAACCTTATTAAAAGAGAAGTCAATGCAATCATGTTAAAAGTATAAAACTAACTGTTTTTTTTTTTTTTTAATTTCAAAAGGAGTGTAATTTTACCTTATACTTTAATATATATTTCTGGTCTTTTTTTTTTTTTTTAATATACTGTTGGGTCATGTATTTTTATTGTTTAAAAATGTTTATTAGATATGGAAAATGAACTATAAGGATCCACATCAACCTTAACAAATTATTATTTTTTGGCTAAATGTAACTTAATAAACCATGAAAACACTGCTCCATCAACCTCAATAAATTAATTTTATGACTAACTATTATCTATAATTACTACATTACCTCAAAATTTGTCGGGACATTGTTCATTAGTTATTCAATTTTTATTTTTTTTGGATAGATTTAAACCCATTATGTTTTGATTTTTTTTAGAAACTGTTCATTGAGAGAATAGATAAAATGTCAATGCATGGATGATATAATTATCACACCCAAACTTTTTTTTTTTTTTTTTTTTTACACTTTTTTTGTTTTTTTTGGGGGAAAGCATAAAATGCATCAATATATTAATGAAAGAGGCAAGGAACAGCACAGTGAAAACATCATCACAAGAAGGGATTTAAAAATTGCACGACCAACATACTATCACCATGAGTAGTAAAGAAAGCTTCACTCAGCAACATCTACGAGCACCTGTACAAGGGTTAGAAAAGGAATATACCATACCTTGCAAATCAAATGACCAATGAGGAGCACTGGCTTGAGGGAACTCGAAAAATGCTTGAATCTTCCCAATTATCTTCTATGCAATACTCGCCTTTTCGCTTAATGTGATCGTTACTTTGAGAGGATTGAATAACTTCCATTGAAGTTAACGCTTCATTCAAATTTTGCGGTGCATTCAAGTTGACACTGCATTATCTTTAAAAATATAATAATAAGTTGACACTGCAGTCAGATAAACAAAAAAAGCAATTAACCATTTTGAAACCTTTAAATTAACAGTCATTTCTCAGCTGATTGTGTTGCTAGAACAGTACACCAGGAACATTTCAAGCCCAGAAAATTTTCTATTTTATGTATACATGACACGAGAGAGAGAGAAAGAGAGAGAGAGAGAGTAATGAATGTTCCACAACAAAAAATAAGCAGCAGTAGCCTCATTGCACTCGGCACAAAATAAATCTAATCCAGAAGGCACACACAAAACCAGTAATTCTATTCGACTTCCAATCTAACCGGGTCAGTTTTCACCAATCGTTCCACTACTCAGAACACTTCTCTGCAGCTATACAACATCACACACTATCATCTACCCTATATTATATACACACAAGAAAAATCAGTAAACCGACATCTCCGCTGCAAAAATCAAAAACCCATCTCCGTCAAATCATTTATAATGCAAAACACATCATTTAGAATGCAAAACACACACCGCCTTCTCATCTACAGCAAGTCACATGCTTCATCCACAAGGCAAGTGTATCCAGGAAAATCTCCCACTTCACATCTTTTTACAGATACCAGAAAATTCTTGTCATTCGTTTTCTTTACCTGTCTCAATTCGAAGCTAGCTCCGTTGTCTTGCTTTCCCCAACTATGGTAGACACGTAGGCTTTCGGTATAAAAAAAATCAAAAGCCGGCCCAACTAGACAACGACAAGAATATAAAAACCTCGTATACAAATTCCCTCAATTATCGCCCCTGACTAAGCGAACCTCTCAAGCTCTCTCGTCTGGTAGCGTCCACGAGAGCAAATGCCCACCAGAATCCCCACTCAACAACTGCTTCAGATCACTTGTAAGGTGAAGGGCAGTAACTGGATGCTTGTGAAACTTCAAAACCTTGTGAAGGACCAACCTGTACTCAGGTATTTTGTCGCCCAGCCCTAAAACTCCTATCAAATGGTTTGTTCCCTTGCTTTGGGCAATCCTCTCATCAGAGCAGTGAACCATTTGCCAGACCTTAACAGCTCCACTCTGGTGACCCGTTACATACCAATTTGTGTCCAGCCAATCAGAAAAAGTGCAACTAGTCACCGAGAGAATGAAATCAGATGGAAGTTGGGACGTGTTAATCACCGCAAGGCAGTCACCATTGATGCTCCAAACAGCAAGCATAACGCCAGCAGCAGTCACTATTTCCCCAGTTAATTCGTTAACATAGATTGCCGAAACGGGTGATGGGAACTCAGGAAGTTGCCTAACAAAAACCAAAGAGCTGAGGTCCCATAAAATAACAGTACAGTCATCCGATCCACTCACAACCATCATGTAAGGCTGGACAACACGAAGGCACGTGATTCTTCCCGTGTGGCCACAAAGTGCCTTCTCCAACTCCAGATGGCGAAGAGCACGTGGTCCATTTTCACTAATTCTCCAGACACAAACCAAACCCTCGTCAGCCCCGGTAACCAGAATCTGACCATTGTGGCTGACACCAACACATTGGATCTGGTTGCCTCCATGAAGATTCTCATGAGTAGAGAGCAGTTTGTCTTGATCGTAGCTCATAAATCTCAAGCTCCTATCTGGGAAACCCCATGAAACATATTTGGTATGTGTTTTGGGTTTAAGCAAGCTATTTGTTCCTGCCACAAGAATTTTCTCATTGACAGTAACGATCTGAGCTATGGAAGATGAGCTCTTACGAATCTCATGAGGAACCAGATGAGTACAGTGTTTGAGTGGATGGGGAGGAAGCTTTCTATCAACCCGCCTTTTGACATGTGGTTTGAGGAATAGTTGCTTCGGTGTTTGCCCAAAGTGATTGATTTGTGCTAGAATGGAGGCTTTCATTGCAGGATCTGTAACAGAGTCTATGTCAACACTCCCTTCATATGTATAATGAAAGAAAACGTTCACAGCTTCTTCGGCAGCCTGTCAATGACAAAGTAGGTTTTAGAAATAAAGACGCACCATAAAAAGAACCAAGAAATGAATATAAAGGCACAATATCCCACACCAACCATGGGATAACCAATGACTGACTGGGCAAAACATTTACTTTATTCAACGACCCAACATAACACATGAATAAACATCAAAACATATATATACATATATATATATATACAGAGAGAGAGAGAGAGTGTGTGTGTTTTAAGGTAGAGCATCTAATTTAAGAGTATACATTAAATTATATAAGGTGGCACATCAAGGTTTGGGATTTGAATATGTGACAATGGCAGCTTAGATGAGATGAGATGAGAGTAAAATCTACAATCATGAAGCTTACATGATTGCTTTTGAAAATTAATATTTTCTCTGTCGCCATTATGGGAAACAAAAACAGACTAAAACTGTGTGTCCTATAACATATGCAAATTAGAAGGGCAGTCTAAGTGATTTAGATTTCATTTCTTTCACTGCAACTTCACCCAATCCAACAGAAAATAGAGGAAAACATCATCAAGAGGAATATAAAGGAAGAAAAGAGATCATATTTGCAGAGGCTAGTTAAGAACACAGAAAATATCAACAATCAATACAATTTGATGGATGAATGGATTGCAGATTCTGAATGCACTTATGCTCTATTTGGTTCATTGGAATGGGATGGAACAGAAGGAAATGATCATTCCATAGAATGGTCATTCCTTTGGCTCCCTTACGGAATGATCATTCCCTTACAAGGGTGAGTGATAATTTCATTTGTAATATATTTTTTACTAGTGCTTAGTCAACCAAAGATGGGAATGGACATTTTGATATAATGATCATTCCATTCCACCCTGTTCTAGTGAATCAAACACTACCTTGAACCAGTTGAAAAGGCTCAGTAAATTAGAATACAATTCCAGAATTAAAAACCAGATCAAGTGAAGATTAGATTGCTTGTCAGATTGTAAGTGACACTCACCTTCCCTCTCTGTTTATATCCAAAGATCAGGTCTATCCAGTGATGAAGATTTTCTGAAACATAATCAGATTCCAATGCTTCCCTGTGCTTCCTGATAAACTCTCTACAACTGCCTTTGGCCCAAGGAGGTAACACGACATCACCAACCTGGAAAAACCACCCACATGAATTAAGTTTGTAGTTTGAAAAGAAAGAAAATTGGTAAATAGGGAAAAGAAAAGAGCAGAAAAAAAAAATTTGTTGGTGGGAACAATTTTTTTTTGAACAAATTTTTTTTTGTTCTTTTTCCAAACAACAGACCATTATAAGATTAGAGACAAATCAGAGGGGGCGAAAAAAGAAATAGTAAATCACATTGACCACCCCTGAGGTTTAGAAAAATATGATCAGCCCCACAGATTTGGTATAATTACAGTGACCTCCCTTTTAGTAAAGTTGAAACAGCCTAAACTAATGCAAATGATGTGTAGTCAAAGCGATAATCAAAGTAAATTATACATTTTACTGTAAAAGAGATGACAATATCATTTATTCATCCATACGACTAACAAATTACTGATGAAAATCAGGCTAAGTATTGCATGAATTAAAACCTCAAGGGAACCCAACATAATTATGCTAAAATTGTGGAGGCTCAATGTATTTTCTCCAAACCTCAAGGAAGGCTAGTGTGATTCACCCAAAAAGAAAATAATCATAAAGCAGTTAAACTTTTAAGTAACGTAAACAAACCTTTTCTCCTGACTGTTTCTCTCCCAAGTCAAGATTGAAACGATTTTCCAGGAACTCTGGCATATAGAAGAATTCTGGAATCAATTCCTTTACATCTGAAGTATTGCCCTTGCCAGCAGCACTTAACCATGTATCTCGTACACTATTGAAAAGACGATCAGCATGGTCAAACTGTCCTCCTTGCAGCTTCTGATTCTCCATACTGAATGGTGGCAGGCGTAGAAGATAGAAGAGAACAATCCCAGCACTAGAGTAATGAGAACCATAGTGAAATTTAGGAACCTCTGGATCATCCCATGTCTCATACCTGAGATAAGAAACGAATTGAAAAAGGGCGAAAGTAATTAAGTTAAATAAACCACCCAACCGAAAAATATATTAAGAGCATGCAAAGCAAACTACTGGACAGGAAAAACAAGCAAGAAGTCACAAAGCTGAATGAGGGCAAACCTTTTCTTGAATTCTTCTTCCCCATCTAATGTTTGACAACCCATTGGCTTCTCAAGTGTACGGAATGTTTTGGGATCTGACAAGTCCAGATTTTCACTCTCATAATCTGCAAGAACCCAAGGAAACACTGGATACTGGGTTAGATCACTGTATCCACGTCCCGCAAGAGTATTGAGGTGCATGAGGTACTGGAAATTGGTAATTTCTCCATTTTGCCACCTCTTGGAAAAGGATTTAGCTACAATCTTAAAAAGACGGCTACCCTCATTGCTATCTTGCTTTGTTGACCCCGAAATTGTAGTGTCCAACCTGTTGGAAAAATGATTGTTATGAAGTTCAAAATATTTGGTTCTAAATCTAAAAAGCAACAGCTTAATAAGCAGTTGAGCTGAAGAACCCATGCCAAAAGCACATATAAAGATATGACCAGGTATAGTAGATATTGCCAAAACGGAAGCTTAGAAAGAAAACAACCACACACGTGCATGTAAGCATACACAAGCACCTGCACATAAAATTACTGCATAATTCTGGAACCAGCACAACAGATCCACTTCTATGGTAGTGTTATTTAAGATATCTCTAAATAGTTACATTTATTATGACCAATGTTATTCTTGTTCACGTATACATTACTTCAGTTACATTACCATATTTTTCTCATAATCTTACCATAACAGAAAGAGGGTGGGTGAGAGTGCATTTGGGACAAGAGAATCAGATGGATCATGCCTTTCCACAACTATGACATCAAGTTTCAATCAAAATATTATTCCTTAATAAGCTATTTCCAGCAAGTGAAATCGACATATTGAGATGCATTAGGGGAAAAAACCACCGCTCTTAGTTCTGTTAGGATTCACTCAATCTATTAAGTTCAACAAAAAGTGATCATGTGGCGACTACCAAACACTGGTCATACATAAAAGAATTACAAATTCTTTTTAACATAGTCAACAAAACACAGGTGTCTTGAATGTCTTCTAGAAGCCATGCCGGTGTTCAGCACAATCTCCACACCTCTCTATAAGGGTTTTGCAAGTAACAGTTAATTACAGATCTGCAGTCACAAGGCAAAAACATCCATCCACGCTACTGATAATACATTAACCAACTTAAGCATAGAAGTCAAGAAATGCAGTACACGAGCCAAAAGCCACCTGTATCATTTAGAATTGCATTTCCCCTTTCAATTAGTAGTTGCACCCGAAAACTTACAGGTAACATTGGATCTACCAAATTATCTTCAAGGGAAGAGTATGATATATAATTTATTAACACATGCAAAGGAATATATGGCATTAAATATTATGTAGTTGAAATACAATATCATATCAGTACAGTACCATAAGATCCAATATTTAGCATCAGATGCACAGATTGGAATGGCAGACATTTATATGATATCAATCAAGCACAAAATTCAAACAACAAAAAAACCGAAAGAAAACAAACAAAAATAAAGAAATACCCAGCTGTGAGCAGCCGGTATATGCCCTTATTGGACTTGTATGCATATTCATAACAAAGAAGCCAACATTCAAAAACTACTATGGCCAACATTGTTACCATATTACCATCCATGGCAAATAAGAAAAAAAGGTACAGTCAGAATAACACAAATGAAAAGAAGCCAAAGTGAAGGTTATGATGACATACATGCTGTTTCTTGGCAAATTCATGGCCACCAAATTTTTGAAAACTTCTTCCCTCTCTTTTTTGTGGAAGACCAGGAGGTCATTACATCCATCCATGCTAAATAACTCAATAGCAACAGGACGAAGCTGGTAATCGCGCTTCAAAATTTCATGAACACTATTAAGCTTCCATGCGCGCCAAGGATGAGGTACATTACCACTACTACAAATCTTTTCCTTTCCCCATGCACCACCATTATAGGCCCAAGCCCTTCCCCCAACATATGCCTTCACCGTTGTACCCCAGGATGAATTTGACTTGGAATGGGAATCCATACTGCATGAAATATCTTTCTTTACACCCAAGGCCTGATCGATAACAGAGAGGTCATCTTCACATTCCTTTTCACATATGCACCCAGAATCATCAATGTAAAAATTCTCAATTACATACAAGGATAGTTCACCAATCAGAAATAAACCATCATGTTTGTCAAGACCTATGACTCTTTCACAGTTGTATCTGAATTTTATCTTTTCAAGGGGCTCCAGATAAGGTCTAATTAAGTATTCACCATTATCATTTAGTTCCTTATCTAATTTATCATCCATCACTTTCACTGCATCTATTTTCATTGAAGAAGATTGCCTTGGAGATCCTAAATCAGACCTTCCTTGTGTGCTCTCTGCTTTTGGGACAGATTCTGCTGCGGACTTGGCATCAAATTCAGGAGCAGAATAAAGACTTGCTTCATTTATACTGCTCGCACGGTCATCATTCCACCCAGCCCTACTAGAAGCTACATCTCTAACATCACCTGATTCTTTGAAAATTGATCCATCATAGAGCTCATCATCAAAAGAATCTTGTTTTATATCATCAGTCAAAAGATTAAAAAACAAATCAGATTCAGCATCAGAAGCATCAAAATCATTCTCATTTTTTTCTTTTGAAAGCTCTTCTACCCCCAATTCAAACTGCCCATTCAAAACATTCTATCAATCTCAAACGAAACACTTCCATACTTCACAAATGATACACATTTTGGTGCTGTATCAATATCAAACAAAAACACTTCTATACTTCACAAATGATACACATTTTGGTGCTGTATCAATGTCAAACAAAATCCAGTTTAGAGGTCCATCCTCCATCTTCCCCTAAACCATGGAGTATATCCCCCATCTCCTCCCACACAAAACAAAGTATATAAGCAATTATCATATACATGTTTCACAAATGATACACATTGTAGAGCTGTATCAATAACACATAAAAACACTTCTATGCTTTACAAATGATACACATTGTAGTGCTGTATCAGTAACAAACAAAATCCGGTTTAGAGGTCCATCCCCCATCTTCCAATAAACCGTGGAGTACATCCCCCATCTCCTCTCACACAAAACAAAATATATAAGAATTATCATATACATATTCAATCAATCAATACAAAATTTTGATGTATTATACCAACCGCCATATTCAATAGCATACTCAACTGATTAGTTTTAGTTTGCCTAATCATCATGCATTGTCTACAACAATCAAGACTACTCTCCACAGGTAGCCCAAAACTATTATTTCTAAGCAGGTAATAATTGTTATAATAGATAAATTGTCATTATTTTTAGAAGTGAATGATTAATATAATCCAACTCCACCGTTCCATCTCATAATGAGCCCATTTCATTATATTCAACTCAATTTCTTATTTCCACAACAAAAGCCATTAATTACACTAATGACCCAAATATACCCAGACATGGCATTTTTCTCCCTTTTTCTCAATATTGACCCAAAGGCCCAAATATTACTAACAACATCAACAATCTCTATTTTAGACCCAAAACACGTATGGATGAGTCAAATAAACAAAACCCCTCTTTTCAAAATATCACATTTCAAAACCCTAATTTTCCAAATCAAACCATTTACACAAAATGCTCAAAATTTATGTTAAAGCACATAAGAATGAGTAGGAATCCCTACCTCAAGAGATGAAACTCAAAGGAAAAGATGATGAAACTCGAAATGCCCTAAACTCGAAGATCTACGGATCAAAATGTAGCCCTCAACGATCCCCACACTTTTTACAAAGGCCGAAGGGTAAAGGGTCACTCCTACTAGATCAATCCCTAGAGAGAAGGTATGTTTTTAGAGAGAGGAGCTCTCCAATGGAGTTTTGAAAAAGTAAGAGAGAGAAAGAAAAGTGAAAAGTGATTTAAAATCACTCAGCTGCTAACTAATATACGACTCTCCCGTTCGAGCGCAGAACAAGACGCTCGAGCATCAAGCACAAAAATTGGACCCGCTCGAGCGCAAGAAAACCCGCTCGAGTGTCAAGACACAACTGCAAAACACACCCGCTCGAGCGCAAAGGGAAAGCCGCTCGAGCGTAGATTTCCCCCTTCCAGAACTTTTACAGACAATGAACTACTCGCTCAAGCACCAAGGAACCCGCTCGAGCGTAAGGAAACCCGCTTGCGCATGAAAACACACCTGCAGAAGTTTTGTAAAGGCACTAAATACTGGGAGTGTGTAAACCCCGCTCGAGCACAAGAAGACCCACTCGAGTGGACAACCAAAAATCAAACTCTGCTCGAGCGCAAAGGAACCCGCTCGAGCGTACCACCAAAGATCTGGGCATCAGGGTATGGGACTAAAGCTCAACCAACCTGTTTGAAACACGCCCAATACATCCTAAAACTCAAACATGCAGAATTAAAAGACAACAACAAGATATACAACCACCAACTCCACGGAACCTAAGTCCGGAATACAATAAAGAGAGAGAAAGACCGGGATCGCTATAGACTATTGGCGACTAAAACATTAGTCGCTAAATGTATAATTTTAAAAAGTGGAATTGACTATTGGCGACCAAAACTTTGGTCGCTAAAGACCTGTGTTTTTGCCGACTAAAACCTTTTTGGTCGCCAAAACCTCCGACGACCATGTTTTCACGACAAAAACGGCAACTAAAAAATTTAGTCGGGGAAACCAAAAACAAGGTTTTTGGCGACTAAAAGCGGACTTTTGGTGACTAAAAATTTAGTCGCCAAAGGTGATTTTTCTTGTAGTGGACATTGTTCATTTAAGTTGAACAACTCAAATTTAAATTTGAGATTTTGTAGATTTTAAATTTGAATCTTGTCGAGTTGAATTTTACATAACATTTGAATTATTATTATAAAGAGAAATTTAAATTATCATAATAACTAAGATACATTTTTAAATTATGTATGATATATATGAATTGTCATTAATAACTTGGACAATTCGTTGTACATGCATGGTTAGATTGAGCGTTTCTTCTCTAATGCCAAATATCAAGTTGTTTTAAGTTTATTTCAAAGTTTTCAAAGAAATGCAACATTTTGGATTGCATATTAATCCTTTATATAATTAGTGATAGTGCGAAAAACATTATTCTATTAATATAAAGGTTACTATTAAAGTGCATGCTAACATTTTGATGCATTGCATTATCATTTCTCTAATATAAAATGTCATTTTCATAACCTTAAAGGGACAATATCACTCTTTGTAATAACCATTGATTGTGATAATTGTTTTAGTAATATAATGATGTTAGCATGAATAAAATGATTATGCAGACAAATTAATTAGCCATCACTACAAGAATTAACAATTTTGGCAACAAAAAAATTGGTCGCTAAAAGTCAATTTTTGGTCGGCAAAAGTTATCCGCGACCAATTTTTTTGGTCGCTACTTTGGTCGCCAATTGAGGGTCGGCAAAAGTAATTCGCGACCAAAATTATGGTTGGTCGGCAAAAGTTGGATTTCGCGACTAAATTTTTGGTCGCTAAATATTTAATTGCCGCGACTAATTTTTTTTGTCGTCAAAACACTTTGGTCGCAAAAAGTGATATTTTCCCGACTAAAAAGTTTGGTCGCCAATTATCACATTCAACGACTAAAAAGTTTGGTCGCCAATTATCACATTCAACGACCAAAAATTTTACTCGCCAATCATGACATTCCGCGACCAAAAAATTTTGGTCGCTAATTGTGACATTCCGCGACCAAAAAGTTTGGTCGTCAATTGTGACATTTCACGACCAAAAAAGGTTTTGGTTGCCATTTATTACTTTTCGCGACCAAAACTTTTGGTCGGCAAAAGTGAGTTTCCACAACCAAGAGCTCTTTTTGGTCGGCAATAGATGTATTTTTTGCGACCAAAACTCTTGGTCGACAATTGTCATTTTTTGCAAAAAAAATAATTTATTTGTTGCGACTAATAAATTGGTCGCCAAAGCAGGAAAACAATACACTTGTAATTCCTAATAATTCATTCAATCCATAATAAACCTATAATTTTAAAGCACCATTCAAATTAATTGAATCATTAACATTCGACACAATACATAATTCATTAACATTCGACACAATACAACTATTTTAAGTTTTCATTCACAAGTCACATCCATCTAGCATAACAAATTGAAACAATACATAATTCAGATTTACAGCATCAAGAAAATTGCTTAATCCACTAAGTTGCCTTGATAGCCAATCAAAAAGATCCTTGCCCCCTTCCGTGCCACGCTTTGCATCCATCAAAGCAGTAGTGATGTAAGGCACCTAATAAAGAAACAGAATTGGAAAAAAAATAATCAGAGAAGCATGATAGTGGCAGCAACACTGGATTGCAAACCCGTATCTTTGCAAAAATCAATTAAATCCTATAAACATGTACATCGTATTGAGACAACTAGGTGGCATAATAAAACTGTACCTATTGCTGTACCAGCAAATTTCAATACACAATGATTAATAAGCTAACAGCCATAACAAATACAGGCATAGTTAACTATCAAAGCTCCATTGATTCAGTTCACTTTTATATATGATTTTTTAATAAAGTTGGTAAAGTTTATTTTAATGAATAATACCACAGATTAATTAAAACATGAATGATTCTGATGTTCTTAGTTTTAGATTTAACTTTGGGTTGTAGATGAGAAGCTTAAGCAGACATTCAATCAGCACTGATGATCAAGGCCCCTAATCTAAGTAATCACACACAAAAGATTAACGTGTACCAAAAAAAAAAAAAAATTGCAGTTCACAATAAATAAGGTGGCATAACATTTGTGCCTCCTTTCCGTTCTCTTTCCCAAGACATCAAGGGAAAGCATATTCATCCATTCTGCTACCCTACCTACCAGATATGATATGAATGAATACATCTGACGAGTTTTCCTTAAAAAAAAAAAAAGAAAAAAAAATTCCTTAACCAAAAAAAGGGAAAACCCCAAAAAAAAAAAAAAAATCACATTCATTTGTACAATGGTCGGAAGTCACTCACTTTCCTATAACAAATTAGAAACTAATGGCAAAAAAAAGATATATTTTAGCAGAAATCCTTCAATACAGAACAAAAATTTCAAGAAACAAACAAACAAACAAGAAATGACCAAGCATCATTTATAGATATCAAAGTAATGTATAACACAAAATTCTTACAAAATATATGCTTTCTGTCAAAAAGTTTAAGAAACAAATAAATTCATTAATCTAATACTAATAAAATGCCATAGGAATTTTGAATTAAGCTCACAGTTTTCATTGTCTTGCCTTTTTCTTTTCAACAAAAAATGGAAACGAATAACAGGAATAGACAAACAGGCAAGGTAAAAAAGACCTTATAATTGACAATTTGGACCCATATCACTAATTATTTAGATATGGCTTTTCTATACCAAGAAGAATCCTAGAATTCAGCTAAACTGATTTATTAAAATGGTAACATCATAAATTATTAAACCTGGTTCAGTGTAACCAAGGCTTTTAGCAGACTTGACAACTTGGCTGAATGGCTTTCCATCTTCTACCTCGCTCATTACATAACCCATCGTACCTATTCACATACAAGGATATGAAACAAAATGATAAAATTACAACTTAAAAAACAAAGCATGTTCGATATATGCAAGCAAGCATGAAGAAGAAATAAGACATTTCAAAAAAATAAAAATAAAAATAAAAATAAATGCTATACCACTTAAGCTCCCAATGATATGGTGCACGGGATCTCCAGATGAAAGTATACGATTTAAGGATGCTATAACAGGGAGGCCAGCACCAACTTGCCAGTTGTCATAGCATGAAATTATTATTTTTTATTAAATATCACAGCATGAAATTATGCAGACTATAAATGATTAGTCCTATCAAGCTCAATTTTTATAAACAAAAACTAACAGAAACAATGAAATTTTTATAGTTATAGGAGAAACAGAAGCAGGTTTAGGGAGCAAGATCTACTCAAGATAAATGGTTTTTCCCAAATGAAACAACTAATTGGCCAAAACTATTTAGAAGAGTTTATATTAAAAACAAGACTTCGTAAAGAGGTTTCCAATTTATTACAGTGTCTTCCAAGTACCACCAAAACCACTGAAGAATTTATTACAAACCGCTTACAAACAGTGTATGGAAGACATTCATAAGTCATAACTGGTTGAATGCTAATATTGGCAGACCCATCTCTACATCAAACAGAAAGCATACAAGCTGAAATATTTAAACCTACATTAACAGACTTTATACATCTTAACTGGTTCGTAATTGCAGTAATATGTGAAAGAATGCAACAATGTATTTCAATTTAGTATAATTTCATCAACTGAATCACAATTTCAGTCTTGAATATTAGCTCTAAAAGGCAAAGAAGAGATTAGCAAAAATTTCAGTTTTGATCTGCAAGTCATAATCATCTGTCCACTCACTATTGCACAACAATAGTCTCCGACCATCACATTCATATGTTATCTATGTTCGAAGGTGTAAAAACACTTCTATCTGCACCAACCAAGTAAAAAGCACACTCACAGTTGACTCATGTCGAATGCGACGTGGATATGCAAGCAACTTATCATAATCTTCCTACAATCTAGACAAAAAATAACTTTTCTTCAGACAACAGAAAGCAAATGAAATATTATATGAAATTTTTCCTCACAATTTGTCATGGTAAGCAGAACAATCAAACAGCAACCACATACTATCATTACCTTTATCACAAACAGAAACATTAAAAGGCATCCATTAACAAACTAGGGTGCGTAAGAAATACATAAAAGGATTAGTTACCATTGAAGAACTAAGAGGCTTCTTATTGGCCATCACAACACAACAACCCAAATCTACCACTCAGTTTAGCACTCCAATAGGCTCAGAACTGGTAGAGCAATCAATGAATGCCAAACCTGTTGCAACAATTATTTCTTGCAATCATTCCAGACTGATCTGAGGCTGAAATTATGATGTACAAACTCTAGCTCAAGATATATGGAGACAAAGTTGAATGCTGGCACTTCTTTTTTAAGTTCACATGGGATAGTAAATAGAACACATGCTGGGAAGATAAACTGCTATGTCACCACCTTATGCAACACCATCTCTAAAAGTTTGGTAACGTTCAAACGCACAACAAGAGAACCAACATTACAGCTCAAATGTGCACAAACCTCTAGATCTACCCAGAAGAGTTGCAACATCGATGATTTTTCCCATAGCTTCAGGGTTTGAAAATACCTTGCATTGACCTACACAAGTACCCGACAATAACAAGAAGTGTAAGCATGTTGATTGGCTTTGATAAGCCAATAGCACTAGTTTGAACTTTTTCAGTTTTTTGTTGTTAGTATGCTAATATATCATTTATAAAACACTAATTACATATACATATAAGAAAAGGTCAAAGATCAGACAAAATTTATTCTTCCTCTTTTTTATGAGTAGCACCATCACCATTTTGTCCCTCTGTATGTATAATCGAGCCTAGGTACTTTGGTTATTAGCTTGCAATTATAACTACCACCTCATTTGTATTTCAGGTTTTACAAAAGTAACATTTCATACACTCAGTTTTAGTCCAACTTATCTTAAACCTTCTTCATTTTAGAGCTTCTTTCTAAACTTCTAATTAAGTATTACCCCTTCTCTTCTCTTTTTTGTCAAAGCGTACAAGTGTTATACTTAAAATAGGGCTGACTGTTTTGATTTTCTGTTATGTCTCTGAAATTTTTCTACACCAAAATTCACTCCAAGTGATACATGAAGCACCTCAGACATGAAAAAGTGAAATACAGGACACACCCACACTGCGGTCACTACTATATCCCTAATGCAAACATACAATAATTAAAAAATCACTAGGTTCACTTACACTTGTTTTCATTAGGATCATAGTTCTATCATACATGTTGATGTAGGACAAATAGGGACAGCGCTGTAAGGGCAGTTCTGGGGCTGTGAAAGTGCTGAAATCTAAGAAAGAAAGAAAGGAGAAGAAGAAGATAGGTCTAAGAATCACTCCTAGAATCCCTTAGGCATCACATAATCCATAAGAAGCTTCAAAAGCTCTGAAAAATTCTCTAAAATATGAACTCTATCGAATTATAAGCATTACATGGCTTTACATAGAATTAGAAGACTTCCTAAACCAACTATAACAAAAAAAAGGAAACCATTATAATATATTTGATTTCTAAAACTAATTTAAGACTAAATAAGAAATATAAATAAAACCCAATTAAATAACTTGATTCACAAGACGACCCATGGGCGACCCCTACAGCCATGATAACAATAAAGAAAATTACCAAAATACGTTTGACCTAAAAATCCTACAAAACATAAAAATAATAATAAAATAATACTAGAAACGTAATTATATAAAATTCCTATCAATTTCACTATGAAATCATGCCAATGTCCAAATATTATTGTTTGTTTGAATTTAGTTCCTGAGCTTCTTATACTCTGCACCACATGCCCTTTATCATATCAATATATCTATTTGTGACTCCTTTATTTTCCAAAATCTACCGTATTTTGTCTTCCTCTCATTGACTTTCTCCAAGCACAGAAAAACCATATGAAGTTCATTTATTCAAGCAACTCATGAAAAATCAAACAGCATCCAATAGTTTTATATTATCCAAAACAGAGTTATGACGTTAATTTAATTCCAATTACATCAATCCGGCAGAAGTATTTTATTCTTCCTTCTAAGGGTAATGTTGTTCGGGTACATTTTCCTTGTTGGTCACAGTTTTATATTATGCAACACAGAATTATGAGGTTAATGTAATTCTAGTTGCATCAATCCAGCAGAAGTATTTTATTCTTCCTTCTAAGGCTGGTGTTCTTTGGGTACATTTTCCTTGTTGGGAACCAACAAAGCTTCTACCACATCAGCTGCAACATATCTAACCATGACAAGAAAAAGCAGTTACATGATTTTGTTGACAGCATCATGAGTACTGCATGGCATCAGAAGGCACCAAAAAGACAAGACCAGAGTCCTTTTCCTTCCAAAAATGGCTTGCCTAATGTTGTCCCTATACATCATGGAGAATTACTAATTTTCTTTTTCTTTTTTCAGTATTTTGAAGAAAATCAAGACATTATATTTTATTAGGGAAGAGGGATGAAAAGGTCAGACCCCTGACAAGTCAATGGATTGGGGTGTTCTGCTTGTCCACGTACTAGTTGCCCTGGCACAGGGGGTTCTATCACTGAGGATTTCTTGTAAATTCAATCGAGAAAGCTTCCTACTATTTATCACTACTTAATTAACTTTGCAATCTAGCATTGAACAAGAAGTTTAGGTGATCAATACAAAAGAAAGTTAACAGTGTTTTGCTTAATTTAATTCTTACCTTCAACATCCAAATCACCACACCCAACAGCATGTAGCTCTCTAGCAAGTTCCTGTGTCTTCTCATATGCCACTGCTAGCATTCTAAGATACTGTAACCTCAGGCGAATACAAATGAAATCACAATCCAACTTTATCTTCAAATGGACAATGGGGTTAAGGAAGAACAAAAACATTAACAATTATTCAACTCACCAATAGAAGTCCGCCTTCTTCCATAGTAGGTGGGTTAACGAGAGATGGTTTTATCAACAATTTGTCAAGAAGTGTTGTAAGTCGCTGCTCCAAAACTCGCTGCATACAAGCACAGAAACTGGTCAAAATTATGAAACTGCCAACCAATATGATCCTGGTATCTAAACTTCATCCAAGTCCACTGTCATGAAACCCATAAAGGACAAAAGAAGGGACTCCTTGTCAGAATACCTGAACCAAAATCGACATAACATCTTTCGGAGAAGGAAATACAGCTGTTATTGTGGCTGCTTCTTTACGCACAGTATCTGCAAATCAATAGTAACAGATTGGGGTCATGCTAATGACAACCCATTGTGCTATCAGTTAGGGGAAGTAAAGGCCAAAAATATTAAGACTCTCAATCTATATAAGATGTCTTTTTTATTAATATTAAATAAATACATACATATATATATATATATATATTATACATATTAATCAGGGAGAGCAAGAGAGAGAGAACGAGAGACGCGAGCGAGAGGGAAGGCAAGAGAGAGAGAGAGAGAGAGGCTTACGGTGGTCGAAGTCGACTGGATGGAGGTCGAGGTCGATGGCTTCGTAGACGATTACTATGAATGTTACTTAATGTGGCCTACTTAATGTTACTGAATGTTACTTAATGTTACTTAATGAGGTCGTGTCCATGCTTCGTAGACGATTACTATGAATGTTACTTAATGTGGCCTACTTAATGTTACTGAATGTTACTTAATGTTACTTAATGAGGTCGTGTCCATGCTTCGTAGACGATTACTATGAATGTTACTTAATGTGGCCTACTTAATGTTACTGAATGTTACTTAATGTTACTTAATGAGGTCGTGTCCATGCTTCGTAGACGATTACTATGAATGTTACTTAATGTGGCCTACTTAATGTTACTGAATGTTACTTAATGTTACTTAATGAGGTCGTGTCCATGCTTCGTAGACGATTACTATGAATGTTACTTAATGTGGCCTACTTAATGTTACTGAATGTTACTTAATGTTACTTAATGAGGTCGTGTCCATGCTTCGTAGACGATTACTATGAATGTTACTTAATGTGGCCTAAGTGGTCCCTTTTAAAAATTATAGAAACCCACATAAAAAGACCAATTTATAGTCGGCCACCTTCTGCTTTTAGTTACACGCACGGTATTCCCAAGTAGGTGAATTAAAACTAACCTCTATTGATGAACACAATCACTCACCAGATGTCAGATATTATTTATTTCCTTCTATCCCTAACTCCTTTGAGTTGAGACTAAAACCCACAGATGTGAGCAATCACCTTCAACATTTCAGCTACTGTTGTTAGTTGATGGATTGTCGTTACCTTGCATTTGTGACTCCTTTATTTTCCAAAATCTACCGTATTTTGTCTTCCTCTCATTGACTTTCTCCAAGCACAGAAAAACCATATGAAGTTCATTTATTCAAGCAACTCATGAAAAATCAAACAGCATCCAACAGTTTTATATTATCCAAAACAGAGTTATGACGTTAATTTAATTCCAATTACATCAATCCGGCAGAAGTATTTTATTCTTCCTTCTAAGGCTAATGTTGTTCGGGTACATTTTCCTTGTTGGTCACAGTTTTATATTATGCAACACAGAATTATGAGGTTCATGTAATTCCCCTGATTGAAATCCAGCAGAAGTATTTTATTCTTCCTTCTAAGGCTGGTGTTCTTTGGGTACATTTTCCTTGTTGGGAACCAACAAAGCTTCTACCACATCAGCTGCAACATATCTAACCATGACAAGAAAAAGCAGTTACATGATTCTGTTGACAGCATCATGAGTACTGCATGGCATCAGAAGGCACCAAAAAGACATGACCAGAGTCCTTTTCCTTCCAAAAATGGCTTGCCTAATGTTGTCCCTATACATCATGGAGAATTACAGCTTGCATGCTTAGGTTGCATTGCATCTTGCATGCATGCCTTGTTCCTTGACTTGATGATAGGAATTGGGCCTTAGTTTGTTTGAGTTGGTTTGCATACATTTGAAATCAAAGTTCCATACTTGATTCCTTGGGCCATCATGCATGGAAATGTGTGATTGGTGGTCCGAGAACCGAGACACATGCCCCTTTGAGTCATTACCATGATAAGGGACATGGTTGGTGCATATATACCGGCAATATAGTTTGCCGGTCGGCATCTTTTATTGCCGGTCAGCACTATTTTCTGCCGGCCGGCACTCCTTTTGGCCAAAATGACGTTTTTGGCTGGCCGATTACTGTGCATCTGCTTTTGCAGATATTTTAAGACAGCTGTCTTGCTTTTGCTC